TCCTGGCCAGGATTTCTATATTGCCTAAAATATCTAGGTTTTGGCTTTGTTTGCGTGTGCAGACCGATCAGTGTATGACATCAAAGTACCTTGAGAGCATTTTGAAAGCATAAGGAACCGTCTGTATGGTATTTTGATGTCATACACCGATCGGTCTGCACACGCAAACAAAGCCAAAACCTAGATATTTTAGGCAATATAGAAATCCTGGCCAGGATGCGTCCTGGGAAAATGGCATGTATGGTCACCCTAACCAACGATATAGTTCATGGTTATGCTGTACTTATCTGATCCTACATCCACTCCAGTGTGTTGTGGTAGTTCTTTGATGTGAAGTGAATCCTTTGTGCATGTAAACTATGCCCAGAAATCCAACCACAGATTAGACGTGTTCTTACACACCCTCAATCCCTTCCCTCCTTTCTCCAACATGATCACATCTAACTGACAATTGTACATGAAGTTTGACTCTCCTCTCATCTTTTTCTCTCTCTTCATATGAAGCGGTCACCCTCTTTTGGTCCCGGAAGCAAAACCAGACGTGTAAGACCCGCTTTTGTCCTGTGTCACAGTAAAATCCCCCCACCGTCATATTTTTTCCTGTGGTTGTGATGGCCTGTTTTGCAAATTGCATGGGTGGCAGCTCTGATTGTGGTGATATCTGTATTGCATGAGACCTTCATTGCTGAAATGCATCTGAAATGTATTTGGGAACCTTTCTTTCATCTTTTGAAAAGCATATGAACCATATATGTGATTGAGGTGTTATATTAATATACTTCAGAGAAACTGGGTTATTGACTGGGTTAGTTAATTAAACTTGGGGGTTTATTTTCCATACCATGTGCTTTTATGGTACATTTTAAAAGCCCATTTAAATGAAAAGATATAGAATTCATTTGCTTGCCTTAATATTTGGATCTAATTTTAACTTTTGCTCTTGTGTAAAGGTTAAAAAGACAAAAATAAGTTGTTTGCTTTAAATGAACAGTTTCTCATCATTTACTTACCCTTATGTCGATCCAAACCTAAATGTCTTGTTTTCCCACATGGTGCACAGAATAAGTTAGGAAGAATTTGAACTCTCTTCTTTTTCTTTCAAAGACGGTCAAAATCCAGAAAAATTTTCATAGACATTTATTATGGTGCAATAGATTTCTATTTGTTCTTTGGAACTTTCAGTTCATGAAAGAATGCTGCAAAAAATGATCATGGTTTCCACAAAAATATTAAGCAGCAACAGTTTTCAACAAAATAATGAGAAATGTTTCTTGAGCAAATCAGCATATTAGAATGATTTCTGAAGGATCATGTGACACTGAAGACTGGAGTAATGGCTGCTGAATATTCAGTTTTGCCATCACAGGAATAAATTACATTTTAAAATATATTAATATATATATATATATATATTTATTTATTTTATTTTTTTTTACATTGTAATAATGTTTCACAATATTACTGTTTTTGCTGTATTTTTGGTCAACTAAATGCAAGCTTCATTTTAAATCATTTAAAAAATCTTACCGACCCCAAATGTTTGAACAGTAGTATAGTTATTTGTTGAAAAGTTATACAGAAGTCATACAGGTATGGAAAGACATGACGGTGAGCGAATGATGACTGAATTTTCATGTTTAAGTAAACTAATCCTTTACAGATCACTTTAATGTAAGGCCCTCATAAATTGTGGATATGCTTCCCTTTATTGTTTTTAATGTAGTTCCAAGTTGTGTTTTTTTTTCTGCATTTAATTTCATCTTGCATGTGTAGTTGGTGTGTGGTCTCTGTGTAGTGGGTGTATTGTGCCTTTACTCATTGGCTTGGTGCCTGGGTGCACATGCTTTGTTCTTCTTAGATGATGTAATTCCAGTAAAAATATTATTGTCATGATAAGCTTTATGGTCTTGATATATTGCTGTGAGTGCGTTTCGCTCTGGATGGAGGCATATTCTTCTGGTATCACAGTCGCATGTGCCGCATGACACATTTAAAAAAAATAATTACCATCTTTTTGTTTCTTAGCTTGACTCGGCAGATTTCACTCCCTCCAACACTCCGTCACGAGATGAAGACTCAAGATCCCGTCGTATATCACGCTCACGCTCCCCATCAACTGCCAGTGACATGGAGCCTATTGAGGTATCCTTTGGACTCTTAAAGGATTAATCCACCTAGAAATAAAAATACTGTTACTATTTAATCACCCGCGTATTATTTCGATCTCATATGCTGTTATTTTTTTCTATGAAGCACAAAAGCAGATGTACTTTTCCATATAATTAAAGTGATCCAGCCTGGGTCCAGCATTTCAGATTTTTTGTTTTTGTGTTTCACAGAAGAAAGAAAACCAGATTTGAAATGATGACAGAATTTTCATTTGGAGTCAGTTATTCCTTTAACTCTTACCAAGAGTTAAATAAAATGTAATAAAATGTACTCATGTGTTGGTGTGTCCTCCTCCTAGTTGATTGACCACACGTCACGTAGTCTACAGACTCCAACAGGCAGATCAGGCTACGGGAGCTTGGGACACTCATCATCTAAAGTAACTATTTACATCATAAAAGTAGGAATGTTTCAATCTGTATAGATTACACTACCATTCAAATATTTGGGTCCGTAAGATTTTAAAATGTTTTTGAATGAATTCCCTTATGCTCACCCAGGCTGCATTTAGTTAATAAAAACACAGTAAAACAATAATACTGTGACAAATTTTAAATAACTGTTTTGTGTAAATGTTTAAAATGTAATTTATTTCTGTGATGGCAAAGCTGAATTTTCAGTAGTCATTACTCCAGTCTTAAGTGTCACATGATCCTTCAGAAATCATTCTGCTATGCTGAATAAATAGAAATATTTCTTATTATTACATTTTTAGGATTCTTTTATTAATAAACAGCATTTATTTGCAACATAAATCATTTGTAACATTATAGCTTTCTATATATGCATTTTATGCAGATATGCAGATTATTTGCTTCCTTGCTGAATAAAATTAAGAGTATTTTTACTGACCTCAAACTTTTGAACTGTAGTGTATTGCTGTACCGTGATGTACATTTCTATATATTTATGCTGTAGAACTGCTTTAGGAATTAATTTAAGTAGATGATCCAAAAAAAAGGCATTTACCATGTGGTTGTTTTCTTCACGAACCATTTTTTTAAAAATGAATTTTCATTAAAAATAAATATTGTGCTATAATATTGTATTGTGCTGTAGGAATTTTGTCCAGTACTCTTATCGTCCAGCATTTGTCTTAATGCTGTGATGTTTCTGTTGGAACGTCTATGGTTGTGTTTAATTATGTTGCTGATGTTCTCTGCTCCACAGCCCAAGGCGCACCAGTTTAGTGTGAAGACTTTCACCATTCCCACCAAATGCAACCAGTGCACCTCTCTGATGGTGGGACTTATCCGTCAGGGCTGCACATGTGAAGGTGAGACAACAGAAGAGAAAGAAATCTGGGTGTTTAAAGTGTTTGAGACAACAGTGAATATGATATGTTTTTAGTTTTTGAGATGATCAAACCCGTATGACTTTATTTCTTCTTAGGAACACACAAGGACAACCAGCATAAATCTTTAATATTTTCTTTATCGTGTTCCACAGAAAGAATAAAGTAATGCGGGTTTGGAACAAAATAAGGGCGAACCTTTGAGGTTTATTTAATGTTCTCCAATCCAAGGATGCCTTATTAGTAGAATACTCAGTAATACTCAATGCCATTTTCCTCCATCTCTCCTTACAGTCTGCAACTTCTCCTGTCACGTCACCTGTGCTGATAAAGCACCCTCTGTGTGCCCCGTTGCACCAGACCAAACCAAGGGCAAATTGGGAATCGACACTCAGAGAGGCATAGGGACTGCATATGAGGGCCATCTTAGGGTAAGATTTGCCAAATATGTTCTGCTCTTCATATTTTGTTCACTATTGGTCAGTCTGTCTTTTTATGGTCTAATTACCACATACTACAGATACATCTCAAAAAATTAGAATATCATGAAAAACTTGGAATTTGTTAGCAAGTATTGTATAAGGGGTGACTGATATGAATAACAATATTGTAAAAAGTGCTTATGAGAGTGTTTATTTAGAATATTATTGTAATATAATTATGATATATATTATTGTTGTTGTTATTGCCAAAATCAGATCTCTTAGACTTTGATCTGTTCTGTTATGAACAACCATTTTTGGCCGTTTGTCTTAGTTCCATTGTTAATGTAATATTTGCATTGTGCCTTCGTAGAATAGGAATAGTAATTTATTTCTGTCCTAAATTCTTCACATTCATCAAGCCTAATTTTTCCTCACAGTGGTTTCTTCAAAATATCACAGATCAAATTATAGCTATCAGGTGATTATGTGATAATCATGACTGAACTAACTATAGCCTTAGGCAGTCATTAGTCATTTCATATCAAGACATTTTTGAATTGCTTTTCATACATTGTTCTTCGTTCATTCCACAGGTAACAGCATCTCAGCTGTCCACCTCCTCTAGTCAGAAGACGTGCATCCTGATCCTGGCTGACAGTGAGCAAGAGAGGACAAAGTGGGTGTCCGCACTAAACGAACTGCACCGCATTCTGAGGAAAAACAAGCTGAAGGAGCGTTTCGTGTATGTGCCTAAAGATGCGTATGACAGCACCCTTCCTCTCATCAAAACCACCCAGACTGCTGCTATTATTGGTACAGAGACACACACAAAAAAGAAAGAGCAAATACTGATAACATTGCATAGTGTTTAATCCAAAATGCTTGATTGTCACAATTTCTGTTTAGACCATGAACGGGTTGCTTTGGGGAATGAGGAAGGCCTGTTTGTAATCCACGTCACCAAAGACGGTAAAACTTCCTTCATTAATCCTCCTATTTCTTCATTGCCCAATAAACTTAAGGTTTGTGACTTATTGGTCAAAAATCTAGACTGGTAACTTAAAGTTTATTGGTTTAAACCTTGGGAAGTCTGATGTATGAGCTACCAGGTGGCTTCAGGGTAGTTAAGGTAAAATTTCTGTTATTCCCAAATGTTAAAAACACTGACATGCTCTCCATCATTTTGACAGAAAAAAATGGGTCTATTGCATTGGAATGCCAGACGTTTATTTAATTTTCGGGAAAATGAAAACAACGACAGATAAAAATAGAGCATGATGGAAAATGTAGAACCCAGCCTGTCAGAGTGACAGATAATGTTTATGTTTTAGTTCAACCTCTGAGTGTAAATTACTTTTCTTTGCATAAAAGCAGCTAAATCAATGTTTGTCGTCACCAAAGACGGTAAAACTTCCTTCATTAATCCTCCTATTTCTTCATTGCCCAATAAACTTAAGGTTTGTGACTTATTGGTCAAAAATCTAGACTGGTAACTTAAAGTTTATTGGTTTAAACCTTGGGAAGTCTGATGTATGAGCTACCAGGTGGCTTCAGGGTAGTTAAGGTAAAATTTCTGTTATTCCCAAATGTTAAAAACACTGACATGCTCTCCATCATTTTGACAGAAAAAAATGGGTCTATTGCATTGGAATGCCAGACGTTTATTTAATTTTTGGGAAAATGAAAACAACGACAGATAAAAATAGAGCATGATGGAAAATGTAGAACCCAGCCTGTCAGAGTGACAGATAATGGTTATGTTTTAGTTCAACCTCTGAGTGTAAATTACTTTTCTTTGCATAAAAGCAGCTAAATTAATGTTTGTTTTTTTGTTTATCAGAGACATATTACAAATCTATTAAATGTTGTAAACTCTCAAAATGTTTATGATTTGTAAGATGCTTTAAAAAGTGCACCATTGCTGAACCACATGCCCATTAAAACTGAAATACCTGATGCAAGACCAACATTCATTGAGCATTTTTGTCCTTTCTGCTAGAAATTGTTCGTGTGGGTGACATTAAGAAAGTGCATCACATAGAACTGATGCCCACAGAGCATCTAATGGCCGTCATCTCGGGCAGGAACCGACAAGTGTGTCTGGTCCCCATGGCTGGGTTCGATGGGAGGGAGATTGACAAGAATAAAGTGGCAGATACTAAAAACTGCCAGACACTGGTGTCTGGTGTGGTGCGCAATAACACCTGCTTCTGCCTTGCAATTAAACGGCAGATCTCCTGCTATGAAATTAACAAGAGCAAGTCTCGCTACTGCCATCTGGTGGACATACAAGTACAGTATTCAAAACCTCTTGTTATTTTTTTCAAATCAAGTAAATGCAGTCTAAATGTAATTAGTGTCCAATATTCAGTAGATCACAAAGATCATCTTTGCTAGCACACACCGCAACATCAACAGCCCTTTCTATATCTCAGGCTCCAGGAACTGTCCAGTGGATGGCGTTCTTTGGCCAACAATTATGTGTTGGATACCAAGCGTGCTTTATGCGCTACAGTTTGCATGGAGATACCCCTCCGGTCAGCATGCTCCACTCAGATGACCCAACATTGGCGTTTATTAAGGCAGAGAACTTGGATGCCCTTTGTGCAGTGGAAATCTCCAATAAAGAACTGCTGCTCTGCTTCAGCAAAATTGCAGTGTATGTGGACACACATGGCAGACGCTCGCGCCAGCAGGAGCTAATGTGGCCCGCGACGCCCACCGCCTGCTGTGAGTAGAGAGAAGTTAATCGTCAATTTACACTTAATGGCTAAAGACAAGGGTCAGGGTGTGGCTGTGAAAAAGTTTTGTTATTTTGACCTTGTGGATGTTTTATATCTTGCAGGCTACAACGCCCCCTACATGTCAGTCTACAGTGAAAATGCAGTGGATGTGTTTGAGGTGAACACTATGGAATGGATACAGACTATTCCTCTCAAAAAGGTTTGCCTATTTCAGTTTCAGAAGTCTTTAAAAAATGTAATTATAATAAATAAATAACTCTTGCACACCCACACACAATTGATAAATGATCAATAAATGAATCATCTTATAAATGAATCAATAAACTTTCACTGGCTCTGTGCAGGTCCGACCGTTGAACATGGATGGCTCTTTGAATCTCTTGGGCCTAGAGACGGTCAGACTCATCTACTTTAGAAACAAGACTGCAGGTAACGGCACTGTCTCTATAATTCATTGAAATGCAATGATCATAGCTCAAGTTGCTTAAGTTTTTTGTTTAGTAGTGCTGTTTGAAATAATGAATAATTCAGATTTGAATAATATGTCTGATAATGCATCATGTGTGTGTTTAGAGGGAGACGAACTGGTGGTGCCTGAGGTGTGTGATAACAGCAGGAAGCAGATGGTACGCAGCATGAGCAACAAGAGACGATTCTCATTCCGTATTCCTGAGGAGGAGAGACTGCAGCAGAGGAGGTGAATGTCTCTCACACACACACACACACAGCATTTTCAAAGCATACTTTGTTAGGTCTGGATTCAATATGCATTTTTTTATATCATTATAATCATTATAGGGTTATTATATTAACTTACTGGTTTGTGTGATTGCAGAGACATGTTGAAAGATCCAGAGAAAAGGAACAAGTTGATCTCCTGTTTGAAATAATGAATAATTCAGATTTGAATAATATGTCTGATAATGCATCATGTGTGTGTTTAGAGGGAGACGAACTGGTGGTGCCTGAGGTGTGTGATAACAGCAGGAAGCAGATGGTACGCAGCATGAGCAACAAGAGACGATTCTCATTCTGAGGAGGAGAGGAGGAGAGACTGCAGCAGAGGAGGTGAATGTCTCTCACACACACACACACGCACACACACACACACACACACACACACACACACACAGCATTTTCAAAGCATACTTTGTTAGGTCTGGATTCAATATGCATTTTTTTAATATCATTATAATCATTATAGGGTTATTATATTAACTTACTGGTTTGTGTGATTGCAGAGACATGTTGAAAGATCCAGAGAAAAGGAACAAGTTGATCTCCAATCCTATGAATTTTAACCACGTGGCTCATATGGGTCCTGGAGATGGAATGCAGATCCTCAGAGATCTGCCAATGGTGAGAGGCTCATCTTTAAAAGAATATTCTGTGTTCAGTACACATTAAGTTCAGTCGAAAGCATTTGTGGCAAAATGTGGATTATTATTTCACTTGTGTTAATAGTATAACCACAAGACATAAACAATATGCACGTTAACATGATTTTAGTGTGCAAAAAATTGCTCACTAACCTTTTCAATGGAAAGTTACTTTTAATATGTAACTATTAATACACAAGTTTTAATAGAATAATTAATAGAAAGTGTACTTAGAAAAAGTGTAAAACAAAAAAGTTTCTTTAGCTTTTAAATCCTCCAAAAATGGTTCCCTTCACTTATATTGTAAGTGCCTCACTGTAACCTTGATTATTATTGGTGTTTTTTGTTCCACAGAAGAAAGTTAGTCTTACAGGTTTGGAATGACATGAAGGTGAGTAAATTATGAAAGAATTTTAAATATTTGGGTGAACTGTCCTGATTAATATTCTCTTAAGATTGGCATGTGAAACAGCGACTTTTATGAAACAAGTATGCCATGTTTACAAGCCAACTTTTGTTACAAAGTTGCTAAAAGTTAAATCCCATTTAATTGGGTTTTATTTGCACCCTTTTTTGCACAGTATTTGGTATCATTGCATGTGTCCACTATAGTACAAAAGTTTGGGGTCATTACATTTTTTTTTTAACTGCAAAGATATATTAATTTGATTAAAAGTGACAGTAAAGACTTTTATATTGTTATAGAAAATCTTCAAATCAATGCTGTTCTTTTGAACTTTCTATACATCAAAGAATCCTGAAAAAAACAGTTATCATGATTTCTACAAAAATATTAAGCAGCACAACTGTAACTGTTTTCAACATTGACAAAAATAAATGTTTCTGGGGGAAACCAAAACGGCATATTAAAATGATTTCTGAAGGATCACGTGACACTGAAGACTGGAGTAATGGCTGCTGAAAATTCATTTTTGCCATCATAAATTATTATTATTCAAACAGATAACAATTAAAGTGTAATCATAGTTTGTAATATTACAGTTTGAACTATGTTTGATCAAATAAGTGCAGCCTTGGTGAGCAGAAGAGACTTTCAAAAATATTACAAATTTTACTGACCCCAAACTTGTGAATGAGAGTGTAATTAAAGTCTTCATATGTCCATCGTCACTTGTCTTTTTCATGTGTGTATTTACAGGAAAACTTTAGGGCTAGATGATTATACTACTTTCTATGATCCATAAATTCTGTAGGTAGCATCTCTGTTGTTACAATCATTTATTTATTTTTATTTTTTTCAGGACTCTGATTCACCCCGGCACTCCACTGCCTCCAACAGCTCCACCTTCAGCAGCCCGCCGAGCCCTGCCTCCCCGCACAAGACAAAGTCCCTCTCACTGGAGAGCACAGACCGCACAGGGTGGGACACATGATGGACTCAACAATGAACCAATCACAACAAACTTTGAGTCTGCCAGTCACAGTGCTCCGTCCCCTCCCATACAGTCGCACCCAGGCACTACAGGCCCCTCCCACTTCATTTGCATAAAGCATCACCACTGGGGAACGTACACAGGAGAAACCACACCAACACAAGAGTTTGTATGTTTGAGCGACCAGGACACGCATGACTACGACCCCGCAAAAGCTGATTGGAGGAAAAAGTGGAAGTTAGGTTCTGGGTTTTAATGTGACTGGTGTTTGTACATAGACTGGGTTAGGGTTGAACTTTTATTTATTTATCATTCAGCCATTTCAAGGTGGAAAATACTGTCACGTCCCTCACACTCGTTCTTCAGCTGTGGACCATATGGGAATGATGATTCCATTATAGAATCCCACTAATTTACCTGGAGGAAAAAATGCAATGATGTATATTTTTTATTTGCTTTTAAAAGTGGTGTGTGCTGTGATTCGTTTGTTACTTCGGCTAAATGGATGAGAGACCGCAGATATCAGGCGACCTCATCTATCGCTTCCTGTCCTAGATTTGTAGGAATATATAGAGGCTTTCTGACACGATGATGTCTTGGAATCTGTCACCGTCATCATCGCCAATCTCCACGTAATCCAAACCTTCCGTGAACCAACATGACCTGTGAAAACACATCACAGTAATGTACATAGCTTAAAAGTATAGTCTAATATATAATAAGGAAATATTGAAGAGATAAACTATGTGGAAAAAAAAATCTCATTGTTTTTATTTTTTAAAAATTATTTTAATATACTCGCACTAAGACCATTTAAAAAGCTTCAGTTGTGTCAGTTCCTTTTGACTTTTATTTTTGCTTTATGAGACAATACTGCCTTGTGTATTCTTATTTCTTTGTTGTTGTTTTTTTTAAAGATTTTTTTGAGACTACAAATGTGCTTTAACTATAAAATCTGCATCATCTCAGTTGTGCTTTATCAGATGACAATACATGCATTGACCGAAACTGTACAGATATCAGCAAGGTTGCATACAAATATCATATTTCTGCAAACTAGAACTATTAAGTCCAAATTGTTGAACTGGTCCAACATGTAATTTGAGATTTGCAGACAGTCAAAGGGTATGTCGTTTTGTTCCTGAATGGTTTCATCTAATGTTACAGAATGGGAAATATTCAACACACTTTGCCTCACCCACATAGTTTGGCTCTTTCTGTCTTGGAAAAGCATATTTTTAGAAAATCTTTTCATTGGATAATTCAGTAATTTTATCCAGTTAAGTGTTAAAACATTCACACCACTATTAAAGGTGGGGTAAGTGATTTCTGGTAGCCAATGTTGATATTTCAGTTCTATTTATGACGTATTGACACAAATTTTAAATGATTTTCAACGGTGGCTTTGTCGCGTCCAGTGTACTAGACAGACTTTAGCTGTTGCGACGCAGACACGGTGTTACTCACCTATCGAGAAGAAACAAAGCAACCTCGGCGTCCGATCGCAGGCCTTCCGCTCCTTGAGTTCTCTCCAGCGCTGGAAAGCTGATCCGATATTTACACGGGTCCTACTTCTTGCCTTATCGTAAGCCTTCTTTTGTTCCGCAGACGTTTTCCTCTTTTGCTTTTTATCTGCCATCTCTATCTTTCTGTCGCTAGACTCGGATAATGTCCGTCCTGTGCACTGAACGCTCTCTCCTCCGCATCATGAATAGACACGCCCCTTACTGCTGATTGGCTACAAGTTTGTTTTGGTACTCGGCCAGACTCAGTTTTCTAAAGCGTTTTGAAAAAATGCATACCCCACCTTTAAATGTAAGGTTAAACTTTACCATTAAAATTTTGTACAAGAATCTGCTCCCACAATGCCAGCATGTATTTGTCATTATGCAGTTGTCAAATTGCTTTAGTTATGGTTTCAAGGGCATTTAGTCCATCTGAGGAAAAAGAAATGTTTAAAACTTCTCAGAAGTCACACATCTAATAAGCGACACAGGCTTCACTTTGTTCCTTATTCAGTTTGCAGTTGATTTAATCATGAGTTGCACAAGAAAGTGAGTCACGCGCCTCATGCAGGCTTCTGTTTGGTCCTCACATCTGCACCAGATTCTGTTCTTTGCGTAAAGTGGGAAGCTCAGTTAATTTGATTAATTCGTTAAAAGTTTTACAGAAAATTGGCTCAATTTTGTAGTATCATTCCATCTATAATAAGTAAAAGCAATGGAAAAAAGACATTTGGACAGAAACCTGCTAGAGACCTCCAGTAAAATGAAAATGTCTCTGCATTTCAGTAATCTCTTGGACATTACGTTTATATGTGCTCATTCTCATCTCAGTTGTTTATTTTTTCAGGATATGCTTTGTAATCATTTGTACAGTTTTGCATGTCATAAATGATAATTCCATGTTTGATGGTTGTTTTCTGTTTCTCACTCACTTGACAAAGGTGGATATCACTTCAAACAATGAGGAATCGTTTTGCACAGATGTATTTAAGCTGGAAGGTCAAAAACTGGATAAAGTGGCCACTATGCATATATGGAGACGTTACTATATTAACCTGATGCTGATGTAATTCAATAAACGGAGGGAAATGACACACACAGATATGAAAGTTGAGAGTGATGTTTTATTTTGTACATAAAGCACTCAGGATCTCAGCATGTTAACAAAAAAGCTTTTCACAGTTTTCGGTAAATGTCACGAAAATGACGACTAATTATTATTAGTGCTAAAACTCAACAGAGAAGAGCTTGGTTGTAAAGGATAAGCAATATCCATTCGAAAAATGCCTAAAATATCTATTCTAAAATATTTTTTCCCCTCTAGTTTTATGCTTTTTAAATTCAGCTCTTAATGCTTTTCAAAGGGATATTTGAAAATGTTCTCACCCTCACCTTCAGGACATTGGCACTGGAAGTGACTGACACTTAGCACTGGAAATGATTATTGACTGAATAATGACTTATATGTTTTTTTTCTTTTCCCCCCACAAATATCAGAAGACTTGCAATGTAATGCACATGAGTCATTTATGTTTTAGTCATTTTTGTAGCTTTACAGCCCTTGGTCATTATTCACTATCATTGTATGGAAAGGAGAAGCATGTACATTTTGCTAAACTTCTCCTTTTGTCTTCTACAGGAAAAAAAGAAAATCATATGTTTGAAATGTCACAATGGTGAGAAAAAAGTTTGGGTGAACCGTCCACTTAAATTTAACCCAAATGTGCAGAGATGTCAGTATTTATCACTAGTTCTGTTCTACAAAATTGTCAAAAGTGCAATAAACAATGGAAAGAAACATTCAAAACCACATCTGTAGTGGAACAACTCAAAAAGCTTCAATCATGCGAGTATAAAAGAGCAAGTGGCTCAACACATCACAGAATGATAACGTATCAAAAGCCCTTATGTTTGACCCTGTTGAAGTAGGAACCCTGAATTCAAGAAGTCCAGTTTGTTCATGTAGCTCAACTAGTAGCACAAGATGCGAACATCTGCAAGGTTGTGGGTTCAATTCCCAGGGAACACACATGGCACACTGTGTAGTTTGAACGTATTTGTGCTATTCATCATGAGGAGTTTGTGCCAAGAGTCCATGTTCTCTTTACTTGCTTGGTCTCTATTTGCTGCCATGTTAAAGTTCACGCCTTGGTAGCATCCTCCCCAACAACACGGTGAATGCCATTGCCAGGGCTGCTTTGGATGGCCTGTGCTGTGATGGTGAGGTCTCGCATGCTGCTGTGCCGTGATTGGCTCTCCAGGCGCTGCAGACTGCCGTGCCGTGAATGGCTGTTGAGACGGTTGACGCTGCAGTGCTGGAGCGGATCATTAAGGCGCAGGGTGCTCCCATGAGGGAGACGTTCCTCGACGCCGCGATAACTGCAAGCTGTGTACCTGATGGAATAGAGAATGAAAGAGATTCAGTGATGTTTAGATCTTTGATCAGGGAGGCAGATGTAGGTTTCGGCCAGCTGTGCATAACTGGGGGGGCACTATTATCCTGGGACATTTTCTCAAGTTGTTTTGAAGTAGAAAATATGTGAAAATTCATGCTATATACTTGTTATAGATATTATTTTGAATGATTCATCGTATATTTTATTTTAAAAATTGTTCTTGAACTTGTAACGTTTAAAGGAGACATATTATGCCCCTTTTTACAATATAAAATATAAGTCTCTGGTGTCCCCAGAATGTGTCTGTGAAATTTCAGCTCAAAATACTCCACAGATCATTTATTATAACATTCTGAAAATGCCTATTTTTCAGTGGAAGCAGAAACATGCTGTTTTTCGGGCCGGTCTCTTTAAATGCAAATTAGCTGCTGCTCCCCGCCCCCTTTTCCAGAATAGAGCTGCATCATTTCAGCCATTTTAAACCATATGAGTTTAAGATTCTGATATACGGTTTTCTGAGAGCACACATCCGAAGCACACGGACAGAAAGCGGCTGTCACAGCATGTGAGTACTAAACTAAGTTCTCATTCACATACAATTTTACGTTAAAAACACACAAGTTACAAAAACAGTCGGTTATGTCTGTGAAGGTAAACAGCTGGGAAATAAATCGCATGTTTATTTTAGATCTGTGTGGCAGCAGCAATGTACAGTAAATAAATCAATAAATCCACTGCTCTCTTGTCTCCTCTGAGGCTGGGACTCTAAACAGTGTTCTGTGCTCGTCTGTGCAGCCAAAGACAGAACAGTTAGCGTGTTTTGCTCAAACTTTCGGCATGGCATTAGAACTGGTACACCGTTGTCGCTTGCGAAATAAAAATGACGGTGCCTAGAGTGGAAGTTTACAGATTAAGGGGAGGTAATATTATAATGAGATCCCTTTGCCACGTCACCAAGGGAGCGGAATCAGACACGCTTGTTTTCTCAGACTCTTGCAGAAAAAGGCTTACCAAAACAAAGTTACTGGGTTAATCTTTTTCATGTTTCCTTGGTTGGTAGATGCACTGGGGTCCTGATTATAGCACTTAAAACCTGGAAAAGTCAGATTTTCATGATATGTCACCTTTAATCAAAATTGTAACTAATTTTAGCCACCACTTTACAATTGATTGTGCTCACATTCATTTTTGAGTGCAACACCCACTCTCAAAATCAATTTAACAACCGATCCATAGAATCAAGTCCTCTCCCCAGAGTTTTTTCCTTTTCCAATAATCAGTTTCACTCAAATGTTTGTCACGATGCAGAAGAAAAGATCTGTCACTACTTCCATTTCACCGTAACTTATAGGCTAGTAATTGAAAGGCTGTAGGTTCAAAGCCCACGATGCATGACCATTGTGTACATTATTTGTATAGGTATTCATAAAACAACTTTCTTTCACAAATTAGTACGTATCACCCAATTTTTTTTATGACTGTTTATTAAAGGGGTGGTTCAGTGGTTTTTTTCTAGGCTTGATTGTGTTTATGGGGTGAAGTCTAACGTGTTAATGCTTCGTTTTTTAAAAAACGCATTATTTTTCACATAATTTACCTTTATTCCACACCGCTCTGTCCCTTCACTGAGAAACGCGCTGATCAATTTCCTGCTTTTATGAAGCCCCTCCCTCAGAAACAGGCGATGGGCTCTGATTACTTCTGAGCGGCGCATGTGCAAAGTCGACCTCCATACGTCATCTGCCCGGAACTGCTTCCAGTGTACAACAGTGAGCGCAGGCTACATTGAAATGATTATTACGTTTAGAATATGGATATTTTTCTTACAAAAACACATCGATTCGCTACAGAAGGCCTTTGTTCACCCCCCCGGAGC